ATGTGATGCATTTATGGAGCATCTGTAAAAATGTAGCTGTGAAAAACAACCTCCCCAGATGGGAACTACAGCTTATCTCTTTTTCTAGATAAACTTCCGATGTAAGCCGACTTTCAGAGAGGGAGGATCCCGAACCCTGAGAGATGTAAGTGTGTAGCTGCATAAATGTGAGGGAGGAATCGGCTTTTTGTTTGAGGCGTTAAGTGAAAGAAATTGTGTTTCTGTGTTTGCCGGCAGAACATCCTCAGACACCACTGGGTTCACAGACGACGACAAGAGGGGAAATGTAGACAGTGTGGAAAGGTGAGTTTGCACTCAAAAACACATGCAGCTGCACACAGATGTTGTTCCTGTTCATGCAGACTGCCTCTTTGTTTCTGCAGAGTTTTCAGCAGAAGTTCTTCCACAGTAAAGAAATCATCGCCATCAGTTGTTCGTGGTGTAAACAGGCCGTAAGTCCGTTAATTCACGAGTAAATATGATATTTAACCCCACTAAGATGTTATTAGTGGGGAAATACAAGTTGTATTGTGCATTGAAGTGGATTAAATATAAACTTAAGCACTACAGGAAGTTTCTGTACCTATTTCCAAATATATATTAGAGTGACATCATTTGTTATTATTATTATTTCCACATTAACAAGGTCATGTAGACCCCACTCATGAATAGGCTGGTTGTACTGACACATCTGTTATCCCCCCAGTCTCTCATTTCCTGTTGTCTCTACAGCTGATTTTCTAATGTAGCCATACAGTAAAGTAAAGATTATCAATCGTTTATGTACCCAATCTGTCTCGAGGCTGGAGGCGGAGGACTGCTAGTGTCACTGAAGGAAAGCACCTTAAAGAAAATGATGCATCACGTCCTTGTTTATTGAAAATGTGGTTGCATTATTTAAAAATGTTACATGTGTCATGGGCTCAATAGAGTAACTGAACCTATTTAATATTTTTGTATATGGTTACATAAATTCAAAATGTTGCCAGAACAGGGAATATGTCATAGGTTCCAGTACTGTAATTGCACCCATTTAATGTCTGTGGCTCCCTTTATTTCCTGCTGTCTCTACAGCTGATTTTCTAATACAGCCACAAAATAAAGCAAATGTTGGGTACATAAATGATCAATAACCCGTCTCAAGGCTGGAGCCAGAGGACTGGTAGTATCACTGAACCAAAGCACCATTTAATGTCTGTCACACAGAGCAGGGATGTCAAACTCATTTTACATATTGGGCCACATATATCCCACTTTGACCTTATATGGGCCAGATCGGTGAAACTGTCCTTACTGTCAGTGTAAAGAAGTTTAACTACATATTGAATCCTTCACATATCTTAGTATAGGAAAATAGAAGTGCAATTTCAACAGTAGATGCTGTAGTTAATGGAAGAAATCTGTCAGCTATAATTATTATCTTTTTATTTATTCATTACTTACTGCAGATCCTCCATAAAAATATTGAAAATTCTATTGTAGCTAAAAAAACCCAAACCTAACCAAAAAAAAAAAACCAGGAAGTTCTGTTTTTAAATGTGTATCTATTTCTCAGATTCTCTGGTGTCGCATGAATGGCAATGTCAGTAGGAGATGCTGTAAAACTTCTGAAAATACAATTAAAAGTCCAAAATCGCTGCCTTCCTTCATACTGTACTTTCCAAAGCCATCCTTGGACCGAATTGGAGCCTTTGGTGGGCCAGTTCTTGCCCCCGACCCTTATGTTTGACACCACTGAGGTAGCATAAGAGAAGCAGATATTGGCACTCAGGGTGTTTTGGTTTTCTTATAAACAGCTGTGTTAGAGCACCACACACGGACAATGGCACAACATGTATGATAGTTTGGATTGCAAGTTTAGCGCATGACACGACCCTGAGGAGTGTTTTTTTGGGCTTTTTTTCCTTGCAGTTCCACAACAAGGTAACATGTTTCATGCTGCACCAGATAGAGGAGCCGTGTTCACTGGGGGCCCACGCCGGAGTCATAGTACCACCGTCCTGGATCATCAAAGTCAGGAAACCACAGGTATGCTCATACCCTCGCCGAGCACCCTCCTCGATCGCTCTGCTGGTTGATAAAGTTCACTGGGTGTCATCTTATGACAGTAATGAGAAATGATTTTGTCGATCTAAGTTTAAGACTCTAAAAGAAGGCGTGTCACAAGCTCAGTGTGTGCTAATGTGTGTGTGATTTTTGGGGTATGATGAGATGCGAACTGACACGTGTCTGGTCTGTCTGAGGGAACTCTGGGATTGTGTCTCTGTTATCACACACAGACATGCACACACATACTGTATATCTCTGTCGCGTCACATGCTTCATTGCACTTTTAATTACCATCACAGGGGACGTGGTGACAGTGAACTAACCACTGAACTCTGTGTGTGCATGTGTACCTTAGAGCTCCCTAAAGAACTCTGCCAGAAGAAAAAAGCGGACATCTTTCAAACGAAGGACAAGCAAGAAGGGATTAGATGTAAGTGATATTATCAGTTACACTGTCATAATACATTTTTAGCTCATGTTTATCCTTCATGTGATCTCGACTCAAGTAAAAAAAACCCATTAAACTAAATAAAAGTCGTTGCGGCTGACTTCAAACTGTGTTTATAAAACATCGACTTCATTTAGGTATGAAATGAAAAATTCTTGCTTTAAATCTGCCTGGATTCTGATGGCCAGCAGGGGGCGACTGCTCTAACTGTGCAAAAAAATTAGATTGAGTAGAGGTATTTGGAGAAGTTACCTTATTTCTTTCCATTTTAAACACACTAAATGTTTTCTTAGTTATTTTTCTTTTATTAGTCTTCACTTGAGCATGATGAAAAAATATTTACAAAAAATATGGAGGAGGAAGTAGAATAACTGAGGGCATGGCTAACCTGTGATTGACATGTCGGTATTGTATCTGTGCAGAGCTGTTTTTCAGTCATGTCCACACCTCGCTCTCATGCTTAGTTTAAAGAAGAAAAAAAGAACAACACCAAAATTGCCAAATCAAACCAAGCTCTAGGAAGCTATGTCCATCTTTGCTATACAGTCTATTATTGGATTATTAGGGTCATCTGATCTCAAATCATCGCGGGCTTCTGCTCCACCATCTGGAACTGGATCGACCGACTGATTTTCATAAAATACAAAAATTGATATATCAAGCTAAAATTTCTCAGCAGTCATCATATATGCCCAAATTTTGCACCATAATGAATGGATCATGATTTTAACATTTATGTTATGTGAACATTCTAATATTTTGATCTTATTGATCTCTTAGGAGTCTAAATGGCGTCCGTTCATGCTGAAGCCTCTCCCCTCTCCCCTCATGAAGCCCATCTTGGTTTTTGTGAATCCAAAGAGCGGCGGCAACCAGGTGAGCAAATGTCTTTAATCTTCTGTTTTCATCTGTTTGAGACGCCTTCTCTTCTCATTGTTGTTTGGAGATATTGTCGCTGCCTCACCTCGTCTGTCCTCAGCCTGTCTATAATTAATTTTCATTGTGAGGATGTCGGTTCAGACAAAAATTTGGTTTATCAGATGAACTGAGCTGAGCTGTTTTCACACATGAACTCCAAACATTATCGGGAGATTCGGGCGGAAACATCTTCAGAAGTTTCACAAATGTATCACACAACAGGAAACGGTTAGCTTCAGAAGTGTTGGCGCTGCAGGAAATACTCCGTTTTGTTTAGGCGAGCATGCAGGAGGTAGGACACAGCTGTGAATCCACCGGAAGATTACCTGCACAGCTCTCAGATATCTGGACAACACGCAGATTTGTACTGGGGAGTTAAACAAGTTAAAGGCTCATTCAGCTGAGGCAGATGTTTGCATCTTACCTGCAACTCCGTCAGGTAAAAGTTCAGGGCTCCACTGCTTACCATAATCTTTTAGACTTCATCAGCAACATCTTCAGAACATAACACTGGGTTTAGTTTAAGATTTGGAGATTCATTTCTCAGATTTTCACAGATTTTTTTTTATTTGCTTGCTGTTAGTGGCAGCTTTTTAAATATTGTAACATGAAGGAAGCTGAATTTTTTTCTGCTTTTTCTGTAGGGTGCCAAAGTGTTACAGATGTTTATGTGGATCTTGAATCCTCGTCAAGTCTTCGACCTTTCGCAGGGTGGACTGCGCGAGGCGTGAGTAATCTTCCCTTGGGGAGAGTGCTGGTGTTTCATTACAGCCTACACAGTTAGGCTGAAATCACCCTGAGCTTGACAGTTTAGTACCAATTACCTACTTTAAATCTTCATTTCACATCACCCTTATCTCAGTCCACCTCTGAGGGGGGAAAGCCATCTTTTCACTCCTCTTTTATTTAAATCCAAAGCTCACAGGTGAACAATTTTCATAAAATCTGGACCAATTACACCCACTCAACACTAATCAGCAGTCTTTTATTCTATAATATTACCTCTCTGCTTTGTTAGGTTGGAGTTGTATCGCAAAGTGCCAAATCTGAGGATCCTTGCCTGCGGAGGAGATGGCACGGTGACTATACATCTCTAATAGCCACTATTTTCTATTCTAAATTTCTACAACTTACACTTTGCCTTCATGTCTCGCTGTAGGTGGGTTGGATCCTGTCTGCTCTCGATGAGCTGCAGATGAATCCCCAGCCTCCGGTCGCTGTGCTTCCTCTGGGAACAGGAAATGACCTCGCCAGGACGCTCAACTGGGGTGGGGTGAGTTCCTAGCCTTGACTTCTGCTGCAGAGTTGATGGAGAGCAGCAGGGCGCAGCGGTGTGCCCTCTCTGAGTTTTATATGCAAATTTTTTGCACAACATGACTAAATAAATTAGATCTAACGAAGAAAAAGAAGAATAAGAGCAACAACAGCTCTTTCAGCATAAAAAACAAAAACATATTTAAGGGATTTAGAGAAGGGAACATTTGCGTTCTTCATGAGAGAGATGGAAATGTCCTTCTTCAGATTAAACATGACAGGTTTATAGCCATGTTGAGTATGCTCAAATATTAATATGCAGTAAAAATAAATTCTCTATTCCCCACCACCTCGGAGAGCTACAAAATGCCTCACCCACATTTTCCAGGATGTCTAAAAGAGCTCCCTTCCTCCATATAATCTCCCCCCCTGACCCTTAAGCCCGTTTGACCTCTTCAAAGCACAACTAAGATGACATGCTTGTTGGTGACATCACAGCAGCTTCCTGTAATTATGTTTCCTTTTTAATTTTAATTTTCTGCAGTTTTAAACAACTTTAAACACAACACAGAATCAACCCTCTGACAGCAAAACGGCTCGCTTAGCGCACCCCACCTCACTGGGAAACATCACAGCAGTGACACAGCTGCAGTGGGTGTTGTATTCAGAGCAGGTTTAAGTGTACAGAACAAACTGAGGTACAGAGTTTATTAATCCATAGGTCGAGTTGGCAGTTCACTCAGGGTTTTTCGTGCATAGGAAACAGAAAGGGTTTGGGTTTCCCTCAGGGGAAAATCACTTATACTGTAAGAAAAAACAAACCATTTCCATCATTTTTTTAAAGTAGGGTTTCATTTCCTCAAGCGTAAAATACATTGTTTGTTTTCACATTCCAGAAATAATAGGAAAAAAACGCATGTATGTCTTTAAGTAAGGTATCCCAGACTATATGTGGACCAGTTGTGCTCACTGAGACTCACACACTAAAATAATAAGCCGCAGTTCATTGCTGCAAATTTTCTGAAATCTCTTTGTTATTATATTGTTTATTGTCTCATAGGGGGTCCAAACAATTGTTTTTTCCCCAGTGAGCTGTAAAAGATCCTCGTCTATTGCACAACAAACACAAAGCAAATATCATGAAGACACAGCTGCTAAAAATGACAAAACAATTTCCAAACTTATACAAAAAAAGTTCTCTATTCATTAAGAAAAGCTTTACTCATTTAATTAAGAAAAACACAGGAAAAATATGACCAAGATTTGTTGAAAGTAAACCAGAAACCCCACCATTTTACTACTTTTAGAGATTTTGATTCCTCCGACTACCGAAATGTGAATAAACGTGCTTATATATTTCCTGATATTGTTGCAAGTGCTGATTATCATCCAGCATTGACAGCTGAATTAAACAGTGGACCACCAGCCCTACAAATAGCAAAAAAAAAGAAAACACGACTCAGTTGACCACAATCTGCAATCTACTGACATCTAGTGGTGAGATTTTACACACTGTAACTTTAAAGATGTCTAGAGGAAATAGTGCAATTAAGTAGATTTTTCAGATGTACCTTTTTCACTCTTGAAAATTTACAGTTTACACAAGCTAAATTTATGGTAAAAGACTCGTATGGAGTCTCAAACATAAAGCATATTGTACTGTTGTCAAGGTGGAACTTTTTCTAGAAATAGCCTTACAAAAGCTGGAAGTGTGGCATTTGTTGGATTATGAAAGGCGAGCCCTCCTCTGCTGGTTTTGACCTTCCTCTCCCCAAAACTTTCAGCAAGTCTGACAAAAATCTGCAACTTGTTCCTAAAACTTTGATGAAGCACTAAAGTTTGAAGAATCTGCCTCTTGACACACGTTTCAATAACAGCACTGCAGCAGATCTTTTACGAGCACCCACATTCTTCCATGAGACTTTTCATGAGATCAGCTATGTAGGCTTGTAGTGAGGATAATACATCAAATATTTCACGTATGAGTCAAAAGTTAGAGTGAAAAACATTGATATGTCAGTAATTTTTCTTCACATTTTTCAGATAATTGGCATAAATGTATTAGTAAATTGATAAGAGGTCTTTACAAAAATCAATTTTCTGGCTGACATGCTGCAGTAAAATGACAGCATGCAGTATATGTGACAGTAAGGATGGACCTTGTAGTTCAGTATCACTGAGTGTAATGAACTGTGCCGTCTCAGCCCTGCACCGAGCTGAACGATGAAGCAAGGACACGCGAATGACTTCAGCAGCTCCGGATGGAGCAGCAGTGAAAGCAATGATAAAACATTCCCGATACGTACAGAGATACACGCTTGGAGCGAAGACGGGCCTGAGTGGAAATTCTTATCTGCCATGTGATTAATTAGTGTAATTGCTCTATCCTTTTTGTCCTCTATTTCATCAAGTATTTCTGACTGCAGGCATTTTATCCACTTTGTCTATTTCCATTTCCTCTCCATTCCTCTGAGTTCTCATTTCTTATCCTTTTTTTAACTGTTGGTGCATCTCCTTTCCTTTCCTTTCCTTTCCTTTCCTTTCCTT